CTTGACATGGACATCTAGCGTATGAGCTCTTGCCACACCCAAGAGACAGCACAAGTACACACAATCATCATGGATCACCGACCCTACTCGCCCTCCTGCTCCCTAATCTCGCGCTCCAGCCTCTCCCTCTCAGCGCGCCTCATCCGAGCTAGCGTAAGGCTCTCGTAATCCAGTCCCTGGTCGGCAAAGTCAAAGTTCGGCAGACTCGGTGCATCCATCTTCTGAGCGTCGGTTAGCCAAGGTCCTGTCGGAGCCAGCAGAGACGTACCGGTTTGGATGTCTCTTCAAGCGCCTTCGCCACCCATGCAGGCTCGCCAGCAGCCCATTCCATTTTCACTCCCTCCAGTCCCAGATCTCGTCTCCCACCAGCCTGGCTCGCCGCTAGAGCACCTCGTTTGGTCAAGAACTGGACGACAGCAGTTCCGCCTTTCTTCTTCCCTTCCTTCTCTTTCTTGGATGGCTTTGGAGGGCGCAGGAGAAAGGATGACGTGTCGATCGGTCCGAGCGAGAAGAGGGAATCCAGGAGGGAAAAAGCGGTTGGTGGGGGGTAGGGTAGCCGTAAGAGGAGCGTGAGCTCCATAGGAGAAATTTTCTTCCCGTCCAGCTCGTCTATATCTACGTTCACCGGGGTTGGAGGTTCCTGTCTCTTCATAGAAGCTTCATGTGCTTCTTCAGCTCGTCTCTGTGCCTCTTCCCGCATCCTCCGACCTTGTGCTTTGACCCGTTCCTCCTCCTCCCTCTTCTTCCTCTCTTCGGCTAGACTATCGACCTTGAAGCGTTTCGCTGCCCTTTCTGCGCGCTCGAGTTCTTCCAACATTGTGCGTTTCTTTTCTGAGGATGCGGCTAGTTGTGCTGCTCGTGCTCGCCGAGCAGCGAGGGATGCGTCGAGGGCACTGCGTTGGGTAGGGTCGAGGAGAAGGTTGTATGCCTGTGTCAGAGCGTGGAACAGTGTTGCGGCTTCAGGTGATGGGTTCTGAACCATATCAAATAAATCAATTAGGATACAATTTGACTGGCAGTTGAAAGTGCGCACCTTGTCGGGATGCACCTTGAGCGATGTGACCCTGTAGGCCCGACGAATCTGCTCCAATGTGCTTTCCGGCGTGATGCCTAGCTGCTCATAAGGATCTTTTTCTAGTGTATCAGACATTTCTTTTTTTTTGGTGGGAATTCCGACTATGTCGACCAAGGGGTATTCAAGTGCAGGAAAGGAGATAGAGGAAACAAGAAATACAATTTAATGTCACTCAAGTCATCGCACCCTGACCCCTCTTACCTAATCATTTTATATCTCTCACGTGACCTTCTCCTCGACGCGTCTCACACGCGTCTGCGCCTCACTGCGTCAACGTGTTTTCAGCCACACACATCGCCACATCCGCACGACGGTTGACAGTCCTTCACCCCCAAACGAACGGCGAGCTCATTGACGTTGACGTTCTTCTCTCTTATTTCTGCACATATCATTCTATTTCTTGCAGTCCTCGGTTGACACCACAATTACATCCACAACCGTTCAACATCTTGGACAACCAGTCATGTCCGGGCCCGTCGTCACTCGCGCACCCTCCGCACCTGCGCTCACAAGACACAGCAAGCCCCGCGTGGCCCCTCTGAACCCCGTCAGTGCTCCTGTACCACCTCCTAAGCCTTCGGTCCCACCACCCGTGCCTACCAAAGACCAAGCGGCAAAAGATGACAAGGAAAAACGACGCAAGTCCAAAGGAGAGTTCAAGGATCCACCCAAGGTCGTACACGATCAAGAGACGACCCAGTCGTATACCGTGTTGAACTTGCTTGGACAAGGGGGGTTTGCGAGGGTCTATGAGGCGAGGGATGGAGAGGGAAAGAGCGTGGCGTTGAAGGTCATCAATAAGACCAAGTTGGCAGATACGAAGGCACGGACGAGGGTGTGTTGCTGCGATACTTTGTGCAACGACGAGAACTAACGCCAGCCAGCTCTATGCGGAGATCAAGATCCATCGGATGCTAAGCCATCCACATGTGTGCGCATTTGGGGACTGCTTCGAAGATAAAGACAACGTGTACATCACTCTGGAACTCTGTCGCGCGGGGGTATGTTCTCTCATTGTCAGAGTCATACACAATCTGACCTTTTGCAGTCCCTGATGGACTTCGTTCGCCGACGAGCCCGCCTGAGCGAGCCCGAAGTTCGACTCTACATGGTCCAACTGGCTGGATCGATCTCCTACCTCCACACACATCAAATCATTCACCGTGACCTCAAGCTCGGCAACCTCTTCCTAGACGACCGACTCGAGCTCAAGGTGGGCGACTTTGGGCTTGCCGCCTTGCTCGAAAGGGAGGGAGAGAGAAAGACGACAATATGCGGCACCCCGAATTATATCGCACCCGAGGTGTTGTTTGCCAGCAAAACTCACGGGCATTCCTACGAGGTCGACATTTGGAGCATGGGGGTCATCATGTACGGCCTCTCCTTCCCCTCATACCCTGCGGAACTGAATCACTTTGTGCCCCAGGTTCACGATGCTCGCGGGCAAGCCGCCCTTCCAAACGGAAAAAGTGGAGGACATCTACAGGTGCTTGACTTCCTAAGCGACATATATGCCGTAACTGAACTCTTGCAGACGCATAAAGGAGAGCAAGTACGAGTTCCCCACAACGTTCGAGATCTCTGAGAATGCCAAAAATCTTGTTCAAAAGCTTCTGTCTCAGAAACCGGGTTAGTACATATCGCAGATATGGTTGGGAGATCAGACGCTAACGAGAGCGACAGAGGACCGTCCAACGCCACAGAACCTCCTTTCCCATCCCTTCTTCACGGAGGGACACACCCCGCTCTGGATGTCCCAAGTCTCGCGCACCTCGGCACCCAACTTTACGCCTGACGAGATTATCAAAGCACCAGCGAACCTCAAGGCTCTGCGCAAACGCGCGCAGATCGACGATGTTGGCACAATCCGTGTTCGGCGGGAAGGTGTGCTGTCCGCTTCCGCAGCGAACGGCTCTTCTGCCCAAGCCAATGCTGCCAAAGCTTGGGAAGACGGCGAAAAAGAGTTCGAGAACGCCGTCAATGTTGGCAGCCCCATCTCCACCCTGCTCAAGAGCGCTAAACAGCCTTTGCTCGTTACCGGTGAACCGGTCGGCGAGAACCTTATGCGCAAGTTGAGCGTGGCCGGGGCAAAGCGAGCTTCGGCGCAGAAGGACCGTGACGCGCCTTCAAGTCCAGCGAAGAGCACCACCACGCGGGTTGCCGCCGCTCGCACACGACTGGGGGCCTTACAGAGAGTGTCTGAGGAAGACGACTTGCGTGGACCTCGTGCGACCCGAGCAGCATCGGTGGCCGGACAGCGCAGGACGGCGAGGGAAATGCACGATTCCGAGAACGTGCCCCCTCAGGGGATGGCGGCTTCTACTCGTGCAAGGAGCGGCACGGTCACTCAGGCTACTGCTAGTGTGAGGAGCGGCCTTCCAGTCCTCAGCCGCGGTGCGAGCTTGACGAGCTTACATCGCCAGCCCTCTGTGGGTGCTGGGGCGAGTGCTGGTGCGGGACTGGTCGCGGCCGCGGCCGCGTCAGCGGAGGGTCGGAGAAGACAGGAGCCACCCACTAATGCAGGGGGTGAGAGGACAAACGCTTTCGACCTCACAGCCAAAACCCTCAACGAGGCGTTCGAAGCGCGTGCCGACGGCAGGGTGTGGCGTGATCCAGGTATGCCTTCTCAGCACCGAAAAGGAGTACGTTGATCGATAATATTTAACCCAGCGCTGGATGCTGGGCTTCCTGGGAAAGTGGTGTTCGTCCAGAGCTGGGTCGATTATAGCCATAAGTACGGCATGGGGTATGCACTCACGGACGGGACGACTGCTGTGTACTTCAATGACAGCACTTCGTTGGTGCTTTCACCCGATGACAAGTACGTATTTTTGTCCTCTGCACATGAAAGGAGCTGAGGATGTCTCTGCATAGCCATATGGACTACGTGAAGGCCTCGACCGATCAGCGTCAGTACGTCCGCTCATTCTGGAATATGCGCGATTTCTCCTCTTCTGGTTCTTTATCAAATGCCCTACGACCACGCAGTGCGACTCCCACGCAGGACGCGAGTAACAGCCGCCCTCGCCCTCGCACACGGAGCATTGGTGGTAGCGGCAGTGGCAGCAACGATTCCACCCCCTCTTCTGACCTCAGCAGCAAAGTCACCTTGCTCCGGGCATTCAAGGATTATATCTACAAAGAGCTCTATCGGCAGCAGAACTATACGTACGTCGACGTCGAGAAGGTAGAAGGGATGGACTTCGTTCAGAGATGGTGGAGAGCCAACAACGTTACCATGTTCAAGTTGAGCAACAATGCTATCCAGGTTTGTGTTCCTTTTTCCTTGAGAGAAGAGGCACGTACTGACGCTTGGAACAGTTCAATTACTCGGATCACACGAAGATCATCCTCTCCTACTCGGGTAGATATGTCACGTATGTCGACAAGACGTACAACTTGCACGAGCACACCCTCGCCGAGCTCATGGCCACGGCCGTCGCACCACCCGAGAGCAAGACAGACAAAAATGTCCGATCCAACGAGCAGGTTCTCAAGCGTCTGAGATACTGCCGTGAGGTACTCAACACCATGCAGCGCAAAAACCTCAACGGGGAGGAAGGTAACCCCCAGATCCCCGCTGCAGCTAGGGGCACCGCCAGGACTGCAGGCCTGCGGTAAGGATTGCGTCCACCGTCCGCCTATTTTCTTTGTATTTTGTATCGATTTCCGCGAGACATCAACTAACACTTCTTTCCTTTACCACGCGCAACATTTTCCGCTACACTCATGTTTCTCGTCCATTTTATCGCCCATGTCGAAACCCACAATTGGATCTGGCTCTAGCAATGCTCTCTCGATCGACAAGGCGCAGTCACAGATAGTTTTGTACATCCATTATTATCATTGGTCACATTATTGCCTTTGACTGCCGCGTACTCTGCCTACCGCAGTTCCGTCACCTTGGCTGCTGCGTTAGGAAGCTGCGCGCGGAACACACCATACGGCTTAATGCGCGAGTCCGTGCCGTTGTTGATCCCCGGTTGGCGTGTGTATTGGTTCACAGTGAAGTACAGATACCCATCAACACCAACACTGAGTGAATCGGGCCATTGAATCTTGGGATCGTGCACGAACGGCTCCCACCGTCCTTGACTCGGATAGTAAGCAAAGACGGAATCGTGTTCTGGCGCGCCCATATAAATCGTCCCATCATTACTGGTCTCCATTCCGTCTGCGTGGCTCGCGTGCTGCCCGAGATACTGTACCCCAGCTACCGCAGCGTCTTGAGCCGTCGGATTAAGAGGACCTGGTTGTACCCTCAGAAGTTCCGTGGCAATGCGGTAGAACCTCCGAGAGGCAAGGGGAGAGAAGTAAAACCATTCCCCGTCGGCGCTCAGAGCGATCCCATCCACGCCGGTGGTGAAATGCAAAGTTGTGCCAGGATAGAATGGGACGGTCGGAGGATGGATCGGGGTGAAGGGCACACCGTCGTACCCACTGAGAAAGCCAGGGTCGGCAGTTACGGAAGCGGCACGGTCGAGGTGTCGCCAAGAGGTGCCTGTACCTAGGTCGACGACAATCACTCCATTACGTCCTTCGTCAGAGGAATCAGCAATGTAGGCGACACCTTGGCCAGACCTGCAGGGAAGTCACTGCCTGTTCCACTAGTCACAGGACGAGGAAAGGACTCACGGGGTAATGCTGGGGCGCAAATCAAACCGCACGTCATTCAAGTACGTGTCGGGATAGGCGACCCATGTAGGGAAAGTGATCGTCTGGAAAGTTTGATTTGTTGTAAGATCCACGCCGATCAGCTTTGGTCCACCCTCAGAGGCGAGCAGGGATACGCCGTTGACCGACGGGCGTCCGGTGTCGAGGATCCAAAGACGATCCTTAGGATCGATGACAACAGATTGAACAGAGATGAGCTTCTCCGTATACCCAGAACCGAAGAGAGGGTTTGTGGAGTTGAAGAGTGAATCCGGAGTGTTCATCTCCAAGCTTGGGAAGGGAACTTCGGTCGTGGGAGTGTTGAGTTCGCCCACCCTGAGACACGGTGAGCAGTGTATCTCGTAATATGAAATGAAATACTAACGTAAAGTTAATAACATTCTGTACTGGAAAGTTTGCGAAAAGCCTGCCAGAGGCCGAAACAGCCACGCCTGTCGGCCACTGTCCGTAAAACTCGTGCCAGAGTTCTGGTCCATCAAGTCAGATGACGGAACTGGTAGAATGAAAACACAGTACCAAGCTGCGGGCCGAGAGAGGCATTGGTCACGTATCCCAGCGGACCAAGCCCAAAGGGATTGGTTGGGTCAGACCAGGCGAGCGCCGGGAGTGAGAACAGCAGCAGAGACAACATCTTGGACGATTGTCGAGGGATTACGTGCACCGGCAACCTCTGTGAAGTACATGTTTTCGACTGGGAACTTTATACCCTCCCAGGAGAGGCGCGTGTGTCCGTAAGTAGCATCCATCGTAGACCATTATATATGTTGCCTTTCGGGGACAGAGAGTTTCATCATTGTCCATGTTGTCCACCTATAGCACACATGTGTACCAAGACCGGCATCGATTAGAACCAACACCTTTGAGCTGTCAACGGTGCTTGCATCCTTCTCCACTCAGGACCGGACCCAGCGAAGTGAAAGAAAACTCAAAGGATCCTTTACCATCGGCGTCGGATGATCTATCCGCAGGTAAGAAGTGATACGCGGGAGCAATTCGCTTGTGTTCGCGACCACTCCATAATGACCGAGCTCCAACGTGTCACGATGCTTGAAATAAACCGTGATCTACTCGAGGGTTGCTTAATGCTGATGTGCATCCCGAAGTATGCTGATGGACTGATGTGGAGGTTATTCCGAACGGACCGCAGGAGGAAGCAAAGGTCTAGATTCAACAACGCGAACTTGATGGGGAATACCGGGCATTGTAAACCTCGCTGGGTGTGGCCGCGGCATCTGGCTTGTACTCTGCTCTGCTCTGCTCTACTCTGCTCTGGATGCGCAACTACTGCAGCAGTAGGAATACATCACGTCGATTCATTGGCATTCTGCTTTTCCGTTCTTTGCTAACTATACTGTCGTTGCTACAACAAGTTTTCACACTAAGGTCGTGACCTTTGTTGCATTATTTGGAAGAGGAACTCTGAAGACGGCAAAAGGCGGCCTCCTAAGATCTGTGCCGTTATTCAACTGGGGCTGTCTCGTAAACTGGTTGCTGGTAAAGTACAAGTACCCATCCCAGCCAACGCTGAGAGTATCGCACCACTGGATCCGTGGGTCCCGGACAAACGGGCTCAGAATCTTTGTCACTGGATCGAAGGAGAAGATAGTGTCCTGCTCGTTTGCAGTAACCCAAATAGTGCCGTCGCTGCTTGTTTCGAGACCGTCCGAATGGGAACCGTGCTGGCCGAGGAATTCCACACCTGCGATGGCGTCGAATGCTGCGCTGGGGTTCTGTCCGTTGGGTGGCACCCTCAGAAGCGCAGTGGGTACGCGATAAAACCTTCTGCTACTGAGTGGTGTGTAATAGAGGTATTCTCCATCGGCAGAAAGTGCAATACCGTCAGCCCCTGTGGTAAATCGGGCGTATGCACCAGGGTTGATCGGGCTGTCGATCGGGCGGATAACCGTGAACGGTACGCCGTCGTATACACCCACGAACGAGGGATCTCCCATGGTGCTGTAATCGCGATCAAGGGACGCCATGACTCACCCGTGCCGAGGTCGACGACAATGATGCCATTGCGACCTTCATCAGAGGAATCGGTGATGTACGCGATACCTTCACCGGAACTGCGTCTTATCAGTGATGTCTCTCCTCACATTCAACGTTGTGCTCACGCGGTAATGTTAGGCCGTAGGTCGAACCGCACGTCGTTGAGAAGAGTATCGGGATATGCTACCGTCGGCGGGAAAGTAATAACCTTGAACGTCGTATTCGTCGTCAGGTCCACCCCTACGAGCTTCTGCCCGGCCCCACTGGCATAGGGCTGAATACTGCCCACGATCGGACGACCTGTGTCAAGCAACCAAAGCCGATTTTTGGGATCCACGACGACGGATTGCACCGAAATCAAGTACTGAAGGTACCCTGCGGCGAGTTGTGGATTGGTGGTGTTAACTAGTGAAGGCGGTTGGTTGTATGTCAGGTTGGGGAACGCCTTTTCGGTCGCCCCGCCAGTGATCTCCCCAACACTAGTCATGCTCGGTAAGCGCAGTTTCTTGTGCTTGAAATTCAATATTCTCACGTGAAATTAATCAGATTCTCCACGGGGAAGTTGGCAAACAACCGCCCTTCCTTGCTAATCGCAATTCCGGTTGGCCAATGGTCATAGAACTCATGCCACAACTCCAAAGGTGGGCCTAAGGTTGTGTTCGCCACATACCTCAGGCCGGAGAGGCCGAACGGGTTAAGTGGGTCCGCTCCCGCATGAGCCCCAGGCGCGATCGAGCCGAGAGTGAGGAGGAAGGACAAGAGGGCGATCATCCTGATTGCTTTCCTGGAAGGAACTTGTCCTGCAAATCTAGGGCGGGATTTGTGGGCATTTATACCTTCCCAATGGGCGAGCTACTTCTGGGTCCTGGATTTTCCTGCAAGACAGGATTCAATGGAAGACGCATCGACCGAACGACATGTTTGTGGTGGAGGATGCCTTTGCAGGAAAGAATGAAGACCTTCGAGGGAGGGAACGCGAATGAAGAGAACCAAGAACAGAGATTCGGGGGATCTATGCAGCGAGTAGGTGAGTCAATCGCACTTGCTGCTCCTGTGATTGCACGAGAACTGGGTGCAGTAATCGCGTCAGTTGAGGAGAGTATTGCAATTTTCGCGCCGTTTAGCACGATTATGGTTGCTCCACTACGAGCGCACACTCTGTACCTATCTCCGCCGTTTAGGTTCCAATGTACCTCTCGCAACCAAGTAAAGCCCCATTGTGTATCATTAGGCCGGTCTACTTGGGAGAAGGAGATGGTCCAACTTCCCCTGCACAAGGTCTCGCATTCTTCATTGAACGAACAGGTCACCTGAACGGCGAATGCCTCTGCCGCCTTCTTGTAGGCACTTCCGACCTTTCCGCATTCGAATGACGATGATGATTCCCATTACCCTTTCGGCGATATTCTCAAGCTTCTCGTCGGCCCGGAGAAGTGCGGCTCCACCATCCAAATGGGAAGTCAAAGCTAATTCGAACTGCTCCAAATATCTGACTGGAACCTGAGATATTCTCCTATATACCGCACACAACTGATGGAGATGTTAATGATACAAGCCTGGAATTTGCCAATCAATCTGTCACGCGGTTGCGCAATCTTACACAACACGCCCAATGCCCTTCTCCGCAAGGTTTTTGCTCCATTTGCGTAGAACGTGCTTCATAACCTTCCCGCTTGCGGTCTTGGGGAGTTCACCAGGTACACCATCTTCGCCCAGAAACCACACATAGTCAGGAGCATTCTGGACATCGTGTGAGGACGTAGAAAACACAAAGAGACATGGTGCTTACTTGGCGATTCATACCGTCAAACACCACTTTGCGTACGTCTTTGGCAGACAAGTGCACAGCTCCTGGATGTTTTGGATTCGATCTTACAACCCACGCCCCTGGAACTTCGACGTATTTGGAATCGGGCACAGAGACGACCGCCGCCTCTCGGATGGCATGATGATCAGTCAAGCAGTTCTCAATTTGGACAGGGAAGAGATTCTGTGCGTTTACATAAGTGGAATCATACACAGTGAGAAGGCGATCTCACCTCTCCTCCGCGTATGATGATGTCCTTGATCCTGCCCACGACTATTATGGCTGAGTCATATTGAATAGCCTTGCCAAGGACAACGACTCACTCTGTAGATAACCCTCGGCATCCATGCTGGCTACATCACCGGTCATCATCCACAAGGTATCCGGATCTCCAGGATGTCGTTTCAAAACCCGGTCCGTTTGTTCCTGGTCTTCCCAATAGCCCTTCTGCACGAGATAGCCAGCAACGCAGAGTTCGCCATGTTCGCCCAGGCGAACGATGTTGCCATGTTCATCCACGATTTTTGCCTTGGTCTGGGGCATGATACGACCGACAGTTTCGGCACGCTTGGTGAGTGGATCATCCGTACGGGTCTGAAACGAGACCGGACTAGTCTCGGCTTTCGTGACGTCAGCGTTTGTTGCTGTGCACAATAGAAACCCGCGCTCACTCATCCCATAGGCAATCGTAACCTCTGTCAGTGCCAGGTTCTCGATCAGCTCTTTCATGAGCTCGATAGGAATAGGGGAGCCAGCAGCAATCCCGGTCCTGCTTGACATCAATCCTTGGTTCTGATTACCCGCAATTCATGACTCACCTGAGTGTGCTAGTATCCCACTTCTTACCTCCCGTCTCGAGTTCACCGAGTACACCGAGGAAATGTGTTGGCACGCCATGCAAAGCTGTGCATTTTTCCGCTTCTACGGTATCAAGGATTGCACGAGGGTCGAAGAATCCCGACGGGTATATAATCGTACTCCCGTGTGTCCAAGCAGCGAGGTTTCCAAGAACAAGTCCGAAACAGTGGAATAGAGGCGGTACGTTGCCTTAGATAGCCATCAGAGCAAGGGAATTCGCGAGGCGCTTGACTCACAAAGTCGATCCGCGGGAGTAAGGCGCATACAGTCACCTATGTATCGCCCATTGTTGAGGAGATTGAAATGGGTGAGCTGTATGCTTGGTTGGCGACACTCATATACTTCTGGGGTGAACATACCGAAACAGCTTTTGGCAAGCCGGTCGTTCCGCTGGCATGATGGTTAGCGGGGACGTGATTAGACGCTGCAACGACTGACCTCGTGAACTGCAGGTTAATGACTTCATCCTTGGTATTACTTGCTTCCAACCTCTTGACCTCACTCGCCTCCAGACCGTCCTCTCGCCAAACCATCAGGTCCTTGATATCCGATAAACCCGATGATAACCGCAATTGCCGAGCAAAACCATCGGGATCGTGTAGATTGTCGACAAGAACGAGGGAGCGCAGAGCGGGTAAAGCAGGTTCGGCAAGCTCGTGCTGTCGCAGTGAGTCAAGCTTGTAGGACGGGAGGGCCTCGATCAACGTTTGGAGGAAGTGCACCTTCTTCAGATAGGGGGTAATGAAGAGTGCCTTACTGGTGGTGAGATTCAGTGCCGCAAGGAGCTCGTGTGTCTTGTACTGCGGGTTGAAAGTGACGAGGATGGCACCGATTCGTGCGGTGGCCCACTGGAGCAATGCGTATGCACTTCACACAGATAGAGAGAAAATGATCGCATTTCATTCGCGCGGCATAATGAGACAAGTACCTGCAGTTGGGCAACACAGCACCGACCCTGTCTCCCTTGGTCACACCCATAGCGACCAGGCCCTTGGCGAGTGCGTCAATCGCACGGTCCATCTCTCCATACGTCCATCTCAGACGCTTGTCGCTCGATCCCTGAATCTTGGCGCCGTACTGGTCCGCACGTTCATGCATGCTGACCAACGCTTCGCCGTCGCCATATTGTCCAAGAAGACCGCGCCAGAACTGAGGGAGGGTTTGGTGTGAGAGGGGGGGTGAGAGGGGCCCGCGCACGAACGATCCGAGGGAGGGGTCTGGGACGACCTCGGGGGGTTTGACGACGGTGGTGAACGGCCGAGGATGGTCGGCCGTGTTGTGGAGACGGCGAGGATCGGGCGGGAGACGACGGGATAGGGACGCGTTGGCCGGCGTCGCGATACGGATTAACACGCGGCGGATCATAACCGCTGTTTGAATGACGCAGACCAATCAGCGGTGACGTCGTAAAGAGTGGAATAATGACGCTGACACGATTGATTGAACGAACGACAATGGTGAAACAACGTCTTTACATTGGCAAGGGATGTCACAGCAATGGTCTCACAGCCACTGGTTTATCTGCCGAAAATTTAGTTTTCTTTTTCTTTAATTTTGTCGCCGGTCGTGCACGATTACATAATACGCTCTCAGTCGGGAACTGCAGTCCGATCCAAACAGTTGTCACGCTAGCTTATGTGCCATGACGCGCCCAACGGAGACTAATTAGATCCCGCTTTGGGGATACATATATCTACTGTCAGTCCACGTCCCCTCATTTCCTGTCGCCTGCACCGCCATCTTCTACCCTTTCCCTCTCCCTTTCCCTTCCCTTCCCGCCCCCCTCCTTCAAGAAGCTTCGTTTCGCGTTCATCGCGGCCGTCGTCGTCGTCGTCGTCGTCCCTCCCATGTCTGAGCCAATCACGGAAAAGAAGGAGGCAGGCCCCCCGGAGCCCGCTCCGGAGCCTACCTCCGCAGACAATGCTGATACTCCTGCCGCCGAAACCCCTGCTGAGAAGAAGCGCGAATACAAGGACTTTGGCCACGGCGACGAGGAAAAGAACACTCGTGAGCGCTGTACTCGGACTTGTTTATGCATGTACTGACCTGCATATTTTCGCAGACGCCAAGGTCGACATGTCTCAAGTAAGTGCACATGTTTTACCACCAATGGTTACCGTTGCTCATAGAAGTCGTAGATCGAGCTCAAAGCAGAGGACCTTTACGATAAGGAGAAGGTTGATCTGGAGACATTGGTTATGGAGGACGTTTTCAAGCTGCTTCAGTGCGGCGAAGACGGCTTGGATCCTGCCGAGGCAGCGAGACGTTTGGAGCTTTTCGGTCCGAATAAACTTGAGCACGAGGAACAAAATCCCTTCCTCCAAGTGAGTTCTATTTTTGCTCCGCATGGAATCAAATTTTGACTCCGCTGTCCAGTTCTTGTCTTTCATGTGGAACCCTCTGTCATGGGTGATGGAAGCTGCTGCTCTCGTAGCCATCGCCCTTTCCAACGGCGGTGGTATGCCACCGGATTGGGAAGATTTTGTCGGTATCGTCCTCTTGCTGCTCGTCAACTCGTCTATCGGTTTTTACGAAGAACGTGGCGCTGGTAATGCCGTGAAGGCGCTCATGGACTCTCTCGCGCCGAAGGCCAGAGTTAAGCGCAGCGGTGCCTGGTCAGAAATCGAGTCTGCCGACCTTGTTCCGGGTGATATGGTTGCGTTCAAGATTGGTGATATTGTCCCCGCCGACGTGCGTCTTACCGAAGCCATCAACGTATCGATCGACCAGGCCGCCTTGACTGGCGAGTCCTTGCCCCAGAGCAAGAAAGTCGGCGATCAGTGCTTCTCCGGTTCCACCTGCAAGCAGGGTGAGGCTGAAGGTGTTGTCATCTCCACGGGTCCGAACACGTTCTTTGGCCGTGCCGCCAAGCTCGTCGGTCAGGACGACGACACAACTGGCCATTTGCAAAAGATTCTCGCCCAGATCGGTTCTTTCTGCCTTGTTTCCATCGGTCTTTTTGTGGTCCTCGAAATCGTCATCCTCTATCCCAAGTACCACTACTCGTACCGCCGTGGTCTCAACGATATACTGGTGCTTTTGATCGGTGGCATTCCGATCGCCATGCCCACCGTGTTGTCCGTTACGCTTGCCGTCGGTGCCCAGCAGCTCGCCAAGCACAAGGCCATCGTCACCCGTATTACTGCCATCGAGGAATTGGCCGGTGTCACCATCTTGTGCTCTGACAAGACCGGCACTCTTACCACCAACAAGCTCACCATCGACAGCAACCTTGTCAAGACTTACGGTCCTTTCTCCGCCGCTGACGTCATGCTGCTTGCCGCCTATGCTTCTCGTACTGAGAACCAGGACGCCATCGATGCTTGTGTCGTTGGTGCCATCCCCGACCCTGCCAAGGCTCGTGAGGGTATCAAGTTGCTCGACTTCAAGCCTTTCAACCCCGTCGACAAGCGCACTGAGATCACCTACCGCGAGGAGAGCACTGGCAAGTTGAAGCGTGTCACCAAGGGTATGACCGGTATCATCGTCGAGCACTGCACCCGTAACAAGACCGAGGAGATCGAGAACAGGCTCGAAGCTGATGTGGAAGAGTTTGCTGCTCGTGGTCTCCGTGCCCTCGCTGTTGCGTACGAAGAACTCGACGGGCAGGATCCTGCTGCTGAGGGTAACGGCTTCGAGCTTATCGGCCTTCTCGCCATCTTCGATCCTCCTCGTGCCGATACTAAGCAGACCATTGACGATGCTATTGCCCTCGGTGTTAAGGTTAAGATGGTTACTGGAGATCAGCTCGCTATCGCAAAGGAGACTGGCCGTCGTCTTGGTCTCGGTGATCACATGTACCCCGCCAAGGTGCTCAAGGACGGTCCTCCAGTCGGTGGCAAGCACATGTCCCTCGATGAGATGATTCTCGATGCCGACGGCTTTGCTGGTGTGTTCCCGGAGCACAAGTACGAAATTGTCAAGCGTCTCCAAGGTCTTGGCCACCTTTGCGCCATGACTGGTGATGGTGCCAATGATGCTCCTGCTCTGTCTCGTGCCAACGTGGGCATCGCCGTCGAGGGTGCAACCGATGCTGCTCGTGGTGCCGCCGATATTGTGTTGACTGAGCCTGGTCTGTCCACCATCGTCCACGCCATCCGCGGATCACGTGTTATCTTCCAGCGCATGAGGAACTACTCCATCTACGCCTGCTCCGTCACCATCCGTATCGTCGTCTGCTTCGCTATCCTGGCGTTCGCGTACCAGTTCGACTTCCCGCCGTTCATGATCCTGATTATTGCCCTCCTTAACGACGGTACCATCATGACCCTCTCTGTCGACCGTGTCCTTCCTTCTATGACTCCTGATGCATGGGATCTCGCCGAGATCTTCGCTTTCGCCGTCGCCTACGGTATCTGGCTTACACTTTCGACGATCGCTCTCTTCATGGTTCTTTGGCATACCGAGTTCTTCGAGAACCACTTCCACGTCGATGGCTACCACGATGACGTCAACAACAACCACATTCACATGATCCTGTACCTTCAGGTCGCCATCATTTCTCAGGCTCTTATCTTCGTCACCCGTTCCCACGGCTTCTTCTTCATGGAGCGTCCTTCCATAGCCCTCATGGTCGCTTTCGGCATCGCTCAGCTGATCTCTTCCATCATTGCTGCCTACGCTAACTGGTACTTCACCGATGTTGAGGCGATCTCCGGTGGTTGGATCGGTATCGTCTGGGTTTGGGTATGTCCTTTTCAGCATGCAACCAGCTGACTTGTATGAATTAACGGTTTGCAGAACATCATGTGGTATATCCCTCTGGACTACATCAAGTTCGCGATGAAGGCTACCGTTGTCAAGTGGCTGCGTGAGCGTCGCGAGCGCCGTATTGTAGACGACCGTGGTGAGCCACTCCAGCGCACCCAATCCCGCGCCGCCTCGATCCACGAGTCTCTGTATTCCAACCGTGTCAGCTTCATCCGTCGCGCTGTCAGGACGGTTGGTTTCGGCCAAGGTCGCACTGTCAGGATGAGTCGTAAGTCTTTTCATTTTCCCTTGTCGTTGTCCTTCAGCTGACAACCGTCGCAGAGAACGAGCTGCAGCGCTTCAGTTCCCTCCAGGCCCAGCACGCTGGTGCCACCCTCGCTCGCAACCCGTCCCGCGTTTAAACCATCCGGATAGACACTCGGAGGAAGACCAGTGTCACGGATGGACACTGTATTGCTACACAAACAAATCGTCGACAAGGATTCCCTTTTTTGCGCACTTTGTCTCCGCCATCCTTACAACTGCGTTTCCTCTACTTCCTATTTCTTATTTGCCATGACGTCCGCAGAACCATTGTAGAAGCTCTAATTGGACAAGATTGTCAATAAGAAGTATTCCCCGCGGGCGCTTCCCCGCATATATCCTTGACCGTTTGTGGCTTTATGTGTGCCGTAATGATTTCTATCGATTGGCAGATTAGGAAGTTCAGAACAACATCACAGTTCTTCCTTGATCCTATGTGACTGTCCCGCACCCATCTCCTCAGGAACGACGCTCGCTTCTGGCAGGGCTTCGCTGGTGTGTTCGTTCGTTTCCTCTGCATCCTCTGCAACTCCCACGGCTGCCGCGTTCGCTTTCCCCACTTCTGCCAAGGCGTCTGAATCGGCCATCGCTGCCGACCAGTGGATCTTGCCGTCCTTGGCTAGTCTACGGGTGAGGGCAGCAATCTCTGAATCGTACACTTCCCATTCGGGAATCGCCCGGGCGCGAACGAGCTTGGGCTCTTTCTGTGGGCAGCGATAAGCATGTGTGATAGGAAAGCGGAAAAGTGACCTACTGTGAGCGGATTCTGGCAGAGATCAATGGTCTTCGCCTTATTGAACCGATCTGCACTGCACCACGTCTCGCACCATAGCCAGTCCTTATCTAATGAATACTACACATGAAATTAAGACGCGCAATAACAGCTTCGGCAAAACCACACGTACAATGGGTATTTCATGCTGCAAATTGTTGGGTAAATCTTGATCGAGATTGGCGAGTGAATTGGGGTCTGCGGACAGTCCTTGGTACAGTCCTCTAAGACGGTCTCCGGCAGCCAGCTGGCGGAACCGCACAAGGTCTATGACGTATAATGCACTAGGGTATTGGTCAAGGGATTGCATTAAATGAAATCACGGCTTAGCACGCACCTGATGTGGTAAGGCTTGCCACGGAGCTGCTCCTTCCAGTAGCCCTTCTTCCAGAAGCGGAAGCCTTCCATGTCTTCTCTGTCATTCCCCATAGGAGTGTAGCCATACGGTGCTCCGTGAAGATCAACGTCGATGAGCTGTTTCAAGTCTGTCCGCACGATCTGGTCTGCATCAACAAAGATAACCTTCTTCAGGTCAAGCGGGAAGAGCACGTCCAGGAAGAGGATCTTGTAAGCCCATATCACGCGTTGCTTCTCTTTCTGAGCGCGTAACCAGGACGGCCATTTGTACGTGATGAGCTCATAGTCAAAGCCATACTCCTGTGCAACATTAGGAATGATTTCCTGCACAATGATAAGCAACAGATGCAAGTGTTTGCAGAGGTTTAACTTACGAGAAATGACGGAGAAAGAAAGTTTTCGATAAACCAGAACTTGACGGTATGGTTGGTGTGGCGCATCACACTAAGAGTCATGATGAGAGCAAAGCGCTCATACAACAATCCCGACGCAACGGTGAAAATGTTGATATCGGCCTGGGGTTTGGTGGTTGTGACATCTGTCGATTCAGGCTTGAGATTGACACCGAGCTTTGAAGCAAACTTGTACAACGGGTCAAGGATACCACCGAGGTCCAATCCAAGTCCTGGGGACGCAACTTCCTCCAAGACTTCTGCTTTCTCCATGCCAGCTTTACGATTGAGACGAGGGTATATCGTCATACCTTCAAAGCTTGTCATTGTGAGGTATGGACCGGTCTCGTTAATGCTCTTTCCACCCCATCCGTCATTGCCAACGGCTTCGAGTTCATAGACTTCACTCGTTCTCCCAGGACGAAGTCCGAATTCGAAAACCCCCGGTTGGGCCTTCAGTTGCAAATACCCCAGGTTCGCCATAATCATAGTATCGTCCAATGCAATCGAGCTATTGATATCGGCGATCTGCACTTGAGCGCCGCGCGGTGGGGTGTCTGATCGAGAATGCGTCTCTCGGGCATGACCCTCTACCACGAGAAATTGGAGCTCGAATATTGCGGCCACCCCTTCATTTCGAGCTGTTTGCGGTAGAGTACCGAGCAGGATGTTATCGAGATCGTATGGTGATTCCCGCGGGCGTACCAGCCACGCCGAAGGGGTATCCATCGAAAGGGTATATAGCGAGTTCTCCGGAAGGCCATCAAAACGGGCGACAGGTTTCTTCTCTTGCCTATCAAGACATATGAGATCACATTGTTTTGCCGTGATATCCCTCCTTACCCATTATCATCAAATGCAAGCTGGAATGGAAGAACAGACTTATAATATGATTTAAGAGGCGCCTGTACGACGGTCAATCAAGATGATATACGAGTCAGTTTGATTTACGCACAGCTGATCCATCTGCGCGTGGATTGAGAATGATCTCCACATACACAGTATCCAGACTTTGGAGCCACTACACAACGAGATGAGGCATCAGGCAATCAGTTGAAACGGGTATCATACCTTCAAGAGGCCTGACCAGCGCTGGGCTTGCTCGGTGAGCGGATCCAGAATGACACCGAAGCGATGTATTGCACTTGTCTCGTCCCCAATAGTGAAATAACTGAAGCAAGTCCTTAGGTTCAGTCATTCCGACTCTCACGATTACTTTACTGACCTGTACCCTTTGGTAATATCTTTGTACAATACACTCCTTTGTGGTACTGTGGTTTGGAGCATTCCCGCGGATGGATCGGGCGCCTGTACCGACGATGTTATGGATGACACGTATGCCACTATATCCGCATAAGATCGCCGGTCGAAAGGGCTTCCTGCGGCGGTCCAGAGTTTTTCCATTCCGGTGATAACGGGCGACACCCTCTTCAGAAGCTCGAAGCCGACAATTGCTTGTACATCTGCTGCAGCAAGGTCTTCACCGCTCACGGGGATGATCTGCAATAAATTACATATGCTTTCCTTATACAAAAAAGGACTCACTCACCCTGCCGTTCACAATTATACCACTCCGGTCATCACTTAGACCAAACAACTTTGCCACACTAGCACCCTTTGTTAGCCAGGCCTTGAACTCATCGGCATTTTCTATGGCCTGCTGCAACAACAGACGCTGTGAATCGTCCATCATCTCATGGAGTTCTGGATGGCTGCCGTGTGCGATGAGGTTTTGTAATTCTTCCGGTGTCACAGAGGACAGCTTATTCGTCAGGGTGAGCCGATATAATAGTTCAGTTAAAGACATGGCTTCTGCGGCATCAGGGAACTGGTGTGCAGCAGTGGAGGGTATAAAGGACAGGCGGAAGCGTGAATCGCTTTGCAATGCGTCCAAGGTTTCGCGGAGCAGATGTGAGCCAACAGCTGTCGAGAAGTCTGCTACAACCCAGATGGATACCGGTACATCCTCGTGCCCCGCTGTTAGGGAAGGGTGAGAACACGGGGGTAGGCTCCCACTAGAGGGGTGACTTACTGGGCCATATCCAGCGACTATTCCAACCGGCTTGAAGGAACACCTCACTCAAATCCATAAACTTCAAGGGACGATCTGTGGATGGATGGACATAACGGCTGACTCGCTTTATCGATCCTGGTAATCGATAAAAGTATGTCTCAATGTCTTCCAGATCGTTCATGCGACCGTAGTACAGCTGGCAGATGATCAATACTCGAGAAGCAAACGTGAGAACACGAAACAAACCTGTTCCTGAAGATGTTGTAAACAGCGACTGGTCTCGGTCTGCATCTTTATGAGGAATGTCTACGCAGCCGTGAGCCCTATGCCTATATGTACTCCATTGAAATGACTCACGTCATCAAACGGTATCCATTTGCCGTTAACAAATCCGCCAGACTCGCCATAGATCCCAAGGCGCTTTGCCCACCTCTCAGCAGCCTCAGCGATCTCATCGGGTGACTCAACAATGATCTCCCAAGGCTTGATCTCCGTCCCTTCGATGTGCGGCAGCTGGGCAGAGGTCATCCAGGAATTATATACTCTCCTAATTGCGGTAAGAGGAATATTCCCCTCCCTTGTCGCCACGGGATCGGTAGCCAGAGCGGTAAAGAACTTCATGGCGGCAGCACGTCCGTAAGTCTTGATCAGGTAGTTGATGACATGTGCGAATTTCTTAGAATCGCCATCACCGGCAGGAACAGTAGCGAATCGGATTGGCACATTTCGTTGGATCAACGGGCCAACGTAGCCAGCAATGACTTGGACAGACTCGGAGTTGGCGTAGTCTACATAAAGTAGGGCGTTGTAGATGTTTCGTGCGACTGGGTGGAAAGATCCTGGATAGACGGGCCGAAGCAGCTGCCAGCAGTCAGAATCTCGCTCATACAAACAGTAACGTGGGCCTACTCCTAGAAGACTCGACCCGTATTTTTTGTACCGCTGATCCTTGGCGACATTGTTCCACCAGACGATGGCGTCCTGCTCGTCTTCTGCCTCCCTGATATCGATCCGCCCTTCTGTCACGGAGTCTTCGCCAGTCTGACCCGGCATGGAAGCATTCGCCAACACGACAGTAGCTTGTACGTCTGTCAGTCCGAGACGCGCAATGGAATTGATGAGGCTGGTCTCCTTCCGCAACTTGCGTGGAAGCCTACGCCGATATCAAGCTCTTTTCTAAGAGGAGGCAATACGTATGCGGACGCACCCTAGTTCGCTAAAGTCGTTGGGTGAAAGAGACGCTCCGTTAAGCCAGATAGCCGAGAATCCAGGGGTGAGCTGTGGCTCGTAGCTCAATGGATCTGGAGGAGGCATAGAACGAGCGATTATAGGGGCTAAGGTGGGGAAGGACTGAGAAATGGATGCAAGAGCTCCGAGCTTGTCCTCCGCAGACAATATCAGTTGGGTTATTTGTAAAGGCAGTGCTATGTAAGGCGACATCAGACGGGACTTTCAGCAGGAGATCGTCGCGTACCTAATTGCTCCTCTTCTGTCAACGGTGTGGTAAAGTCTTTCCTGCCATCATTGTTTTCCTCGGATTTGGATTCTTCGCGCTTGTTGTCAGTTCCCAGATATTCCTCAATGAGATGGTGGATGAGACGGAGCTCATCTGACTCTTCCCTGGGTTTGGAAGAATCTGAGCATGCGTAAGCACAGATAACTACACAGAATGACAAAACATACCAGAGCCCGATGACTTTCCTAGTCGGTCGTCCAACGCCGAATATTCGGTTTTCTTGAGGTCAAGGGCAACACCCCATCCAGAAAGATAAGCAGGATCTGAGGCTGGCGCGACAGGCGGGGTCCAGCGCAGTACGTATCTTCATGGTTTCAGTCATTGCTAACTCTTTGCAGGTAAATGGCGCACCTTATGTGGGGAATGCTGGAAAGATACATGTGTGCCGAAGCGAAGAAGGTCGTATGCGGGTTGGCGTGATGAAGTATCGTCGCATGAGGTACGATCTCATCATGCTCGTGGATATGGTCAAAGGGAAATACTTGTGGGGCCCTGTACCTCTCAGACGCTGGATTGTGAACGAGGTACAGATAGAGTACTCACGAAGGCCATTCCTGTTTCCGTACGAATTCCCTCAGCTTTTCCATATCACATATCCTCTCCTCGCCCCATTCAATCCAACTCTCACATCCTGCCACAGGTTGCGCCCCAGCATCGGCTTGGAAATGCGCCATGATCAAGGGGTTCATCCTGTGCATCGCCATCTCCAATTCGAACATCTTCGTGTCAACATCTCTCTCAAGTATTTGGTTCACTTTGAGTTCCCTGATCGCGGAAGTGTACTTCTGTTCTGGGCTGTGGTCGTCGAGCGGGCCGAGATGTGACAGAAGTGCGGCAATTTCAAAGAAGCGGTCGGGTTTTGCTTGTGCAGCCGTTTCACTGAAAAATGTCCCATTGGTTAGTGCTCAGAGTCATACAAGTGAAGGCATACATCAATTCCAAGAGAAGGGGGGGAGCGGGCCATGATGTGCGCAAGGAGACTTGGACTGGCGGAGACTCGAGCGCGCCGACTGCCTGTGAGAGCAGGAGCAGTGGGGAAAGCCGAGCCAGCGTTCGACCCAACATGGCACCAATACTCAATACCCAATCCCCAGTAGTACGTTCAGTCCCTCAGATAATGAAATGTTCAGCGAGTGAAATAGAAAAAAGAGTGCTTGAATTGTAGTTGGACGCGTTTAGGTTACTAGCACTGTCAACCTTCAGGGATGGGTAGGGATATTTTGCCGCGTCTGCCGCGCGCAGCCGCGTTGGCTGCCGCGCAGGACGTGGGCTACTCTACCTGGCCGGTCAACACACAATTCTCACTCACTGTTCAATATTGCTTGAAAAGTAGTTTGGTAGACAGAACAATAACATTGGCATCCCCTGGTTTTTTTTGTTGTTGTTTCATTAAAATCTTGAAAACTTCACCAAATTGAGCAATCCTCATGAGAGCACTGTTGAACCACGTGAGCCGCGCCCCCCTGCGCGGCTCACGTGATCGAGTTGCGCGGCGTTTCACCCACTTAGAATGGGATCTCTGCACAGTGAACTCCTGAACAGCGCGGCACCCCTCGGTGCGGGGGTCCTTGCCCTTTTTGTAATGACATCAAAATATCTTGTTACTTTCCAATGTAATAATCAACAATTTGCCCACACATCTGGAGTCCCTGTCTGCATTGGAACATTGGACTATATTATTACTTTCCACTCAAATAATCAGCGGCTTATTGATGTCAACACTTGACTTCCGCCCAACTCGGACCCTGACGCGGCCCCACGCGGCTCAGCGCGGCAATTCCTCCCAGCCCTTCAGGGATCATTCACGACGTGGACATATATGGTGCGCGCTTATAATTTCTGCGCCACATTCGTGTGCTTCTCAGTGATCATCTATTCCGACAAGCAGGACTTGCTCATTGAACTCAAGGAAATAAGGAGAATATAGCTGAAATGCAG